AACAAGCATTTTTTTCTTAGAATTAAGCTGGCAGTGTTACTGGTGTTTATACCAGGAAGTGATCGCTCCTGAGCCGGTTACTGTGCACCAGTTTTTCTTCATGTTGTTCATTGCTAGAGTAAACAGCACAGCCTCACTGAGCACCATTCAGAGTGAACCATGGTTTGACACCTCTGCAACAGCCCTTATGACTGTTTTTATCCAAGTAAACTAAACCATATGAAAGAATGACCCTGGAACCTATTAACTGGCATTACTTTGGTTCACACTCTGTACTATCTGTAACTAACATTAGCTCTTTATTAATGTGATAATATTTCCCTTCCTACAGCTTGGAAGTTATCACTGGCCATTTCCTGTTCCCCACAAAGGGAAGGCCACAGCATTGCAGCACGGTCCCTGTGATGTGGCCCTTCAAAATGATGCCAGGAGGCCTGCCATGCCCTCATACCAGCCCTGAGGCCATGCCAAGCTTACCCACAACATTATGGTGGAAAAATGGCACTCCTGGGACAAGCAAAGCAGCAGTTTAATTCTTTCCAGGGTCTTCTCATGCAAAAAACTGTTGACAGCTAACAAGGAGCCACCTGTAGATTTGAGGAAATGACAGCCCTCATAGCCATGGATGAGGAGGTACCTAGGGCTGTGTGATTCTGTGTGAATTCAGTACTCCTATTAAAAGGATCCTTGTAATCACAGAATGAGTGTTAGTCCAGTCAAACATGCAAAAAATGGTGAAGTTGCACTTGGCAAAATGCCCCAGTCATGGGTGAGTTATCTGGGGGAGCAACCTCCACCATGGATTTGCCTATCATGGTTTTAGTGTCCAGGACACATCAGGGGTCAGAAGACTCCAAAGTAAAAGACGGTAGCACAGCACTCCACACCAGCTCTCCTTCCTTGCTCAGATACAGCCCTCCCTGTGTGAAAATTGTGTACATGGATCTGGTCATACCAAATGTGGTCCCACCAGAAGGTGCTCCTGTCCTAACTGGTGCCTCTTTGTGAAGAGGGTTGCAGACGTTGAGGGTTTCCATGCTCTGCACTGCCTGCCATGTGCTCAGGTGGTAAGGCCTGGATGTTGCTGCTTCTGCTGTATGGCTGAGCTCTGGAGCTTAGGGTCTGAGCTGGGCTATATGGAGCCCACTAGGAGGGGAGAGTTGCCCCTGAGGTGTGGTGGGTGCGTGTCTGATTCAAGCATCTTCAGCAATTGAGTCCCCAGGGAGTGGCAGTGTATCGCATCATGAGCCCAACTTCAGCTATGGCAGGTGAGAGACATACAAGAATATCTGTAACCAGCGTGGGGTTATATTCTGTTAGCACTAACTTGCAGGTGGGACGTAATTATCTTGTTGGGAGTCTGGGGCAGAGAATTTACCATCAGAGACATCTCACACCAAGTTGACTTTTGGGCTTAACAAAGGTCTCAGCTGTGTTTAATTTACCAGCATAGACAGTCACTCATGTGACTCTAGCACAAAACACATGTCTCTGTAACTGATTGTCAGCTCAATTCATAGCACGTATCTATGCCAGGAGATGTGACTGTGCCACTCAATGCTATAAAAGAGAGCTTTGCACTATGCATGACTATCTCAGTTCAACATTCTTTGTGAGGACATATTGCCTGCCACTGGTGCTGTTGTGGCTGCTGCTTCTCCTCCTGCTCATGCTGCTGGTCTGGGAGGGATAGAAAAAGTAGATGAATTACAGCTTAGTAAAGCTTATGACACAACTGAGAAACTGGAAAGAGTTAAAAAAAAGTTTCCCATCCTAAAATGTGGGGAAGTACAAAGGGATGTTGTGATTGCGGTATCTCCAGGAGAAACATACCACACTATGTAAGTGTGATAACTAGTTCTGTTTCTAAGGATGAATGCAATGGCAGATTTTATATGCTTGAAACAGGAAGCTTCATTCTGACAATAGCACTGTCATTTGAAGAACATGGAAAAGGTGATGGAGGCTGTGTGCTTTTTGGGGTATGTTTGGCTCTTGGGACTCACTCACACACCAGTACTTGCCCCTGGTATTGAGTGGGGGAGGCTTCACTGATTTGTTATGCAGAAGCACTCTTCACACAGTATTGAGCTACTAACTGGACTGGTTGCTGGTTAAAGAAGCCCTTGGGGTGTCCATTCTCTATTATCAGGATGGCCTGTGATGGCACAGGTTGCATGTTCAGTGTAGCTGATGTCTTTCCTCCCATAGTCCTAGAAGCAGAAGTATGGTACCTGTAGGCCTTCCTGGAGAACTTACTAGAATGTGTGCTCATATAAAGTCTTTGCTGAAAAAGTAGTTGGAGTATCATCCACAGAAGCTGTGACTAGCAGATGAACTGTCTCTACAAGAATGCAGAAAAATTCAGGACTACCACTGTATAAAGGAGAAGTCAGAAGGTTTATATTCAGTCAGGCAAGTCATGTGGTTAGGTCATCTGTCCAGCCATAGGCATGACTGCCTTGTCATAATGAGCATGTTACGTATGTGCTTTGTAGACAATTTTAACCAAGTTTTTGTCAGCAAAGTCTGAGGTTATTCTCTGAGATAGGATCTGCAAGATCAGGTTCCTGAGATTACATTGTTTACTATACACATTCCCCAACGCAGCTAATGAGAACAGTATTCAAAACAAGCTTTGTCCCAGAAAACCCATCTGAGGGTTCAGGGATTACAAAGGAGAAAGAGCCAGTAGGTGATGCTACGAGAACGGCTCCTCTGAATAGTACTTTTTAGGAGAAAACTTGGTCCATCTACTTCTGTTGGCTAAAGCTGCCAAAATTGATCTTTGCCTGGCCATGCACTTGGAAGTTGTGAGATATAAGGAATGAACCTCTCACATTGCAAAAAATGTGGTCAGACAAATTTTTCAGGTCATCCTGGACAAGTTGGAAATGCTAACAGGGCAGGAGGACTGTGCCTGGTCTATATTCAAAGAAAAGGCTTTAACAGAAATAATTACATCACCTTCCCAGACGCAAGGCCTGCCCCAACACCTTAAAAGAAAAATGAAGGATGATACAGTACAGCAGCCTGGTCAGGACAAAAAGAAGGAAGTTGTGCCAAGCAGTCCAAAAGAAATGGGAATCTTCAACCCAGCTAGTATTTTCCACATAATGAAAAACAAAAGCTACAATCAAGGAGTAGGAAAAGTGGGAAGGGAGGGTTAATTCTCACACTGGTGGCAACCATTTTCTATGAGAATCCGCCATAACAAGATTTTTGGGTTTTGCAGGTGCAAGGTCATGGCCACAGCAGCATGAGAGTGATAGCATGAGAGAAACAAGGGAATGTACTGCCTGGGCATCTCCGTGAAGCTCTGAGTGCCAAGAAGGCTACAGACTTGCAGATAGAAGGTCATAGCTGTACAAATGGCTTGGACACCTATGTCACTGTGCATCAGGTCTAGCTCAGTGTGAGAGATGCTCTAGGCCTGTGGTGGAATAGCTATAGGCTCTAATTTCAGACATCTGGACTGATTTATAAGTCCAGAACTGATTTACAAGCCAGAGATGAAGCTCCTTCTCCTACCACTCAGTCATCAGATTGTTTATCAACTACAGCAAAGTCATGCTGTCCACACATTTCTTCACAGATTTTTTTTCTCCAAGACACATCTGGGAAGCAGGTAGCACATACTGAATGGTGTTGGTGATCGGGGATTAGGCAATTCTCAGCTCTGATGGCCCAGTGGGAGGACTGAACTGTTGGGACACCGCCACAGTGATGTGTTCTTTCAAGAGAACTTTGTTGAATAGTGTGGATGCTGAAATTAATTTGACACTCATCTGAGACAGCTTTTGCTGGGTGAGCTCCCTGGCAGCAGGTGCTTGTAAGAAGGTTATCACCTACAGCTTGGTGTCTGTGAAGAAATTGCAAGTGGTACCTGGGACATTGTTATGCTTATTGATATTCAGATTGTACCTCACACCTTTTGTGATCCAAGATTAAACATTTTTTGCTTCAGTTTTCCTTTTAAATGAAGGTTCTCAGTCACTTCAATGTTTCAGCTGCTGCAGATTTTAACTATTACAATATATAATCTGGAAGAGGTCTACTGTTCTTTTGGTTGAGTGAAATTCAGACAGAAAACTTCTGCAGACATAGAAAAATGATCAGTTATAACGATATGCTTATTTTTGATTTGCGCAAGAAGAAGAACTCCCTGTTCAGCTTTAAAGTTAGATCCTTCTGCTCAATACACAAAGGAAAGTTTCTGTATATTAACATTTTCCTGTCTTTTTCTGTCTATGCAAGTTCTTCTTATAAAAAATATACTACCTTCTCTTAAATCTCAAGAACTTTTCAGATCCCTGACTAACACGCTACTACCAAATTCCCCAGGAGTTGTGTTTGGGTTGCATCTGCAAAACATATATACAGTATTTATTGGCCAGTTTGAAAAGCCTGGGTAAAATGGACATAAATCCAAAATTTCTTGAGATTATCTCACAGGAAGGTAGAAATTTGGAATACTACAAGCCTTGCTTGAAGCTGCTGTTGCCCAGTTTTGTTTTGGGTGAAACTGAGTCTGCCCACACTGGAAGATCTGAACCACAGGATTCTCTCCAGGAAACACATTTATAAAAGCTTTAACGATAGCTGCTGTCAGAGTTCTGAAATATTTGTAATGAATCATACAGTGCTACATATTGGCCTCTTCTCCCACTGAGTCATAATTTTCAGTAGGAGTAAATATGGGCAAAATGAAATCTTGTGAGCCCCTTTTGCCTTTCTCTGAGGATTGGTCTACTGAACATAATTAATTAAAAGGCTTCTAGCATGAATTGAATTTGGTCATAAGAAAAGGGCAACTATTGCCGACTTCAGTGGTAATTGCAATAATGAGAACATACAGGAAAGGCCCTCAATGCCAGTTACAGTATATAGATAAATCTCTGCTGTCAAGATTGACATGAAATGAAAAAATGTCTGCTCGGTTGCTAACTGAACTTAAACATATTTGAAATCTGAGGAGATTGACGACACAGACTCCGATATTAAGATCGAAGACCCTTTGTTATTCAGAAAGCTGCGTTTTTATCCCCCTACAAAGTTGTCAATCCCCCCAACATAAATTCTTATTGGTTAACATACATTACTCACACACCTGTTCTAACATTTGATTGGCTAGCTTAACTACACATGTCTTTTTTTTCCTTTGTCACAATAACTCTTTTGCTCCGGGCGTTCTTCCAAAGTCCTCTGTTGTTCACTGATAATGTTCTTACTTTTCTGTTATTCCAAAACCTTATTCTCCTGATATTCCAAAACCTTCAAGGTCTGTTGTTACTTTATTTTTCTGTTATTCAGAAACCCTGTTTTTCTGTTATTCACAAACCTTCAAGGTCTGTTGTTACCTTATTTTTCTGTTATTCAAAGCCCTTATTTTTCTGTTATTCAAAAGCCTTCAAGAGCATCATGGCCTTCACTGATGTAAAATGTCTCCACAATTCCCCCTTTTATGCTTTCAACAACCAAGGCATGCAGTTGTTGATATTGTCGTCGAATCATCCCTTGAATACACTGCAAAAAAAAAGGTAATATCATAACAACAATTAAAATCACCAATAAAACCATTCCTTCCCAGAGAATTACTTCTTGTAACCATCCCGTGATCCTCCATCCAGATAACAACCCTCTTAACCATTCTGGGTCCTTTTTACTCTTCAAATATTTGGTCAAATCATTTAATTGTCTTAATTGGTTGTGAATGGACTCCAAATGATCTGACAAGTTCATACAACACATTCCTTCAAAATCCTTACATCCATGCCCTTGAGCTAACAATAAAAAAATCTATGGCTGCTCTATTCTGAAGCGTTGCGTGCCTTACTGAATTTACATCTACTGCTAATTCTGATATTAAAGCTGAGGTTGAATTCGTTTGCTTCACCACCCAACATGACAACTTATCTATGTTACCTAAAGCTTTACCTATACCTACATTTGGAGCAAACAAAGTTACTAATACTCTTACTGCTTTTCCCCAATTAACCACCTTCGAATTACAACCTTGCTGATATCCTAAATCTCTTTTTTGCCTTTGTTTTGTTTGTTTTAATAACTGCATCATGGATGGGGCTAACATAGTTAATCTTCCTAACATACAAGGTCCTCCCGTTGGTTTGGCTGGGACTTCAGGCCATGCTTTATTGCCACAAATCAAAAATATTCCTGGTGGTAGCATCCTTGGTTTGTCAATTAACTTTGATTCAACTATTTCAATTTGTCCTCCGCACCACCAAGATGTGTTCTGATATATAGGATTACGTGGGCCTACAACTTGCATGCCTGAATCGTCCAGCCATGCCCTAACTCTTTCTGTCCCGATCCTTGTGCTGAGAAATTGAGTCATTAACCCCAATGATTCCTCTGTGACTTTGCCTCTTCCTCTCTTACTAAATCTCACACAACTATTATTTCCTCCTGATGCAAGAATGTTTAATTCTTCAGGGTCTAGCCCAATGCGATTGAATGCCTGAATGATCTATTGAATGTTGCTAGCATATCGCACGTTATTTAAGACTCTAGCGTCATTCACATACTCCCAAAAATCTTTAAAGTCCTTCACCGCCTTCCCAATAAGACATGTTCTGAATTGATCTCCGGGTGTGGCTAATGACAGACACAATGTTTGCCCTGTTAAGTTTGCAAAAGACACCCATAAGCTTTGTCTTGTTTGGATGGTCCATGGTCCTGCTGTCTCTGTCGCGGTGATTGCTGCTCCAAAGATGATCCATCTGACGAAGGTTCCTTTTCTACTGCCGGTTTCACCCATTTTGCCTGGATCCACGTAGGTCCACTATCTGTAATGACACAAGCATAACCTCTTCCCCATGTTACTAATTGAAACGGTCCTTCCCATATTCCTTCCTTGTTTTTCACTAACACCTTAATTTGTTCTTTATATGTTGACATTCCTGTTGACATAGCTTGCATATGTTTCACAATGGGAGGAATAGTGTCTTTCCCTGCTAATCATAAAAAGTTCATGACATACTGTACTTTCATTAATCTGCTTCCTGGTGTCTCTCCAAATTCCCCTTGGTTTTGTTTTTGCAAATAATGTTTTAACGTTTGATGTGTACGTTCTATAATTGCCTGGCCTGTCGGAGATTGTGGAATGCCAGTAATATGTTGTAATCCCCTGTCTTAGTTTGGGCTGAAATAAAGTTAATATTCCTTTTCAGGGACTAGATGAGTGCTGTGTTTTGAATTTAGCTTTGGGTTTGGTATGGGAAGAATGCTGATAGCACACTGATGTTTTCAGCTGCTGCTGAGACTTCAAGGACTCTCCGACTCCCCATGTCCTGCCCGTGCGCAAGGGCACAGGGAGCAGGGAGGGAGCACGGCCAGAGCACCTGACCCTAACTGGCCAGTGAAATATTCCATATCATGGAACTTCATGCTCACTATATAAAGGAGGGGTGGTTGGGAAGGAGCTCTATCGCTTCTGGGATTGTGATTGTGGGATCTTGGTATCTCGGGGTCGCTGGCCGGGAACGGGCTGGATATTGGTTAGTGGGTGGTGAGCAATTACGCTATACATTGCCTGTTTATATATTTCTTTTTTTTGTTTTCCCCCATCATCGTTATTGTTTTCATTTTATTGCCATTATTAAACTGTTCTTATCTCAGCCTGCGAGTCTCCCTTCACCCCTCTAATCCCCTCCCCCATTCCCAGGTGGGGAGGGGGAAGGGAGGGTGATTAGCTGCGGTGGTTGGTTGCCGATCAGGCCCAAACCACAACATCCCCATTTGCTAAAAAATTGTTCTGTCGATGGTGAAACATATGCTGGGCCGTTATCTGTTTTTATCTTTTGGGGGATGCCTAATGTGGCAAAAGCATGTCTAAAATGGTTCTGTACATGCCGAGATGTTTCACCACTCGATGCTGTCATACAGACCGCCATTGAATATGTTTCAATGGATACATGCACATATTTTAATTTCCCAAATTCTGGGATATGTGTCACATCTGTTTGCCACAATTGTAGTGACTGCAATCGTCTTGGATTAATTGCTCCTGTTGGTCCTTTTGTCATTTGCTGACAGTCTGGGCATGCTTGTATGATTGCCTTTCCTTCTGAAATTGGTAAATTAAATTGTCTTTTTAAAACGTTCACTGACTGATGGAAAAATTCATGTGATATGCAAGCTTGTCGCCATGTATCAGGTACAGGTATCATAAAGGCTGGTTGTGTAAGCTTGTCTACCCTCGCATTTCCTTCCGCACAAAATCCTGATAGGTTGGTATGACTACGGTGATGACACACATAATATTCATTGTCTCGTTGATGTAATAACAACCATAATTCCTTCATTTGAGTAAATAACAATTCATGATTAATTTGTTTTAAAAATGACCTTTCCAAGTGCTGCACCACTCCAGCTATGTAGGCTGAGTCTGTGATAATATTAACTGGTTCTTTCATCCATTTTTTAAATACTTCGATTACTGCTCACAATTCTACAATTTGTGGAGAGGCCTGTAAAATCACCACGTGTGATTTCCACTGTCCATTCTCGAGCCACGTCAGGGCTGCCTTCCCAGTTTTTCCACTACCATCTGTAAAAACTCTCGGCCCACTTACTGGAGTGGTACTACACTTAGACTTCTGTTCCAAACACTGTTGCTCCATAAAAGTAATTAGCTTGGATGATGCACCTTTATGTGTCCACTAAAAGCTGCTATAGCAATCTGCAAAAACTGACTATTCTGTAAACACCATTGCAAATATTGCTCTGTCATAGGAATGATAATAGTTTTGGGTTCTTTTCCACTTCACAATTCGGTTCCTACCCTTCATAATTAACTGCGGGAACATTTCTGGTCTGGTTGTAATTGTTTTTTGAGGCTGGTGAGATAAAAACTGCCATTCCAAAATTGTTAATTTTTCTGTTTCTGGCTCTTTATCTACCCATTGCATTATCATTCCTATGGGTTGAAAGTCATTATTAATGATTAATAATTCTATAGGATGTCCATACACAATACGATGTGCTTGTCTCTGGCTTAAAATTTGGTCTATCTTTTGTGAGGCCTGTTCTGCTTCTTTGCTAATGATCTGGGTGCTGTCAATTCTGTATTTCCTTTTAGCAATTCAAACAATGGTTGTAAGGTCTGATTATCAATACCCAACGAATTCCTTACCCAATTAATGTTTCCTAACAATATTTGCACATCGTTAAGTGTTTGAACATTCACCCTTATTGACACCTTTTGAGGTTTGATAGTGTGGTCTAATATCTTCCAACCCAAATATTTCCATGGTGCAACGTTTTGCACTTTTTCAGGTGCAATTTGTAATTGACAATCTTTCAACATGTAACCCAATTTCCTGTTTAATTTGGTCAGTGTTATCTTTCCCTGCTATTAGTGTATCATCCATATAATGATACACTAATAGCTGTGGATATTTTTCTCTAAATGGTCTCAATGCTATATCCACATAGATTTGACACATTGTTGATGAATTTTTCATTCCTTGAGGCAAGACCACCCATTGATACCGTTGCACTGGTCCTTGTGCATTTGTTGTAGGCACTGAGAATGCAAACCTAACACTATCATCAGGATGGATTGGTATGGTAAAGAATCAGTCCTTTAGATCAATGACTAAAATGTTCCACCCCTCAGGTATCATAGTTGGTGACAGTAATCCTGATTGCAAAGGTCCCGTATCTTCCTTGACTTCATTGATTCGTCGTAAATCATGTAACAATCTCCATTTTCCTGACTTTTTTGGTATTACAAAAACAGGTATATTTCAAGGACTAGTTGATGGCTGAACATGTCCTGCTTGAAGCTGTTCCTGTACTAACTGTTGTAAAATGGCAGCCTTTTCTGCTGTTAAAGGCCACTGATCCACCCAAACCGGTTTGTCAGTTTTCCATTTCAGTTTGAGTATAGGTCGCTGATCAGCAGCCATTGCTAAAAAGGCTTCACTGATTTTGTTGATAACACACATTTAAACTGAGCTAACAAGTCTCTTCCCATAAGGTTCACTGGAATTTGTGCCACATAAGGTTTTGTCCAGCATGTGAATCCATCAGGCATGATAAATGCAACTGTAAATTTACTCACTTTTGTCGTGGCGTTACCTCCAACTCCTGCCTCTTGTCTTTCTAGCCCCTTGAATGTATTCCGCTTCACTGCTGCCGTCATCATTCATTCTTCGCAAAGAACGCCTGATACCCCTTTTCGACCTTGGTGACTGTGTGAAGCCACAGTCCCACAGTCAGATTCTTTATCCGACCGCGACTCCTTGTGGCCATCATCGCTAGGATCGGTCTGAGTGCCTGCTGTTACGAGGCTGGCCGCGGTCGTCTCTGCAGGCGGATCGTTACAGACGATCCCTGGCAAGCGTTCTTCAGGCGGTACGCTTGCGTCAAAAAGAATTTTCTGAGTGGTGCTGCCTACTTGTTTCTCTGCACGCAAATCTTTTGAGGTCTCATAAACCAAGCGCCAAGTTGTTAATACACAATTTACATTTGAATCACCCTTTGAAGCACGCTCAAAAAGTAATTCTCCTGCTTCTTTCCAAGTTACAATATCAAAAGCACGTGGTGATTCCACAGGTACTCCCTTACTTTTGAGCCAGGCTAATAACAGCTCTAAAGTTCGTTCTTCATATTTAATTCCTCTTTTCTTTAAAATATGCTTTCACATTTAAAAACTGCTCTCTCGTCAGCTGACACATTCGCTCCCACCGCGTTTCTCGGCTGCTCACCTGCTCCTGGTAATGGCAAAGGTGATGATATGGCCCCGGGGTGTTTGTCCGCTCAGTCCAGCCGGCAAGACGATCGTTCTGCCAAGACGTCTCCCCCGGACGCTGCTACTTCGGAGCACACTTTGTCCGATCCCTTAGTCCGTCCTGGGTCCTGGATAGCGTCCTGGACGTCGGGGTCAACATTTGAGGAGACTGACAACACGGACTCCAATATTAAGATCGAAGACCCCCTACAAAGTTGTCAATCCCCTCAACATAAGTGCTTATTGGTTAACATACATTACTCACACCCCTATTCTAACATTTGATTGGCTAGCTTAACTATGCATGTCTTTTTTTTCCTTTGTCACAATAACTCTTTTGCTCCGGGCGTTCTTCCAAAGTCCTCTGTTGTTCACTGAAAACGTTCTTATTTTTCTGTTATTCCAAAACCTTATTTTCCTGTTATTCCAAAACCTTATTTTCCTGTTATTCCCAAACCTTCAAGGTCTGTTGTGACCTTATTTTTCTGTTATTCAAGGTCCGTTGTTACCTGATTTTTCTGTTATTCAGAAACCCTGTTTTTCTGTTATTCACAAACCTTCAAGGTCTGTTGTGACCTTATTTTTCTGTTATTCAAAAGCCTTCAAGAGCATCAGGGCCTTCATTGAGATAAAATGTCTCCACAGAAATATCTCATGTCTATGGAAGAGGTTTTCAGGAGCAGTGCTGGATTTTTCAGCAATCCCTCTAAAAAAAAAAAAAAGAGGGAAAAAAGGAGAAGAAAAAAAATGCATTGTTGTTCTGCAACCTCTCAGGTGCCTTATGCTATTCATGGAGAAGGACACTGTGTTCATTCTGTTATTAACTTTAAACAGTTCCCTAGTCAATATGCTGGATTTTAGGCTATTTTGTGAAGTGCCCAATGTTTGTGTACTCTCAGGCAAACAAGAAGTTTAACAAAAAAAAACTGCACAGAAAAACTGTAAGATGTCCAACTGCTTCTAAAATAGCATCTTGTAAGAGATGATATAAAAATTGGAGAACAAAACGATGCCAGTGAATTTTCTGTGGTGACTCACAATTGGAAAGATTTTAGAAATTCTTCAGATCTTGTTTTTCTTTCATCACGTTCAAGTACAATCCTTTCGATAACATGGTTCCACTACCTCCAGAAAATGAAAATGTGTACTCTACCTTTTCCATGCAGTCCAGTAGCCTTGATTAAGAATAGTCTCTGATGTATCAGCATGGTTTAGATTCACAGACAGGAGCTAAGGAAATAGCTGTGCTGAGATGTGGATTGAACATATAAATTTTATTGCTGTTATTTAGACAGTGCTGCTCCTGCCTTGACTTGAAGGAATAAAGATGATATTTGTTTAACAACAAACTAGGGTCCCTCTGTAGTCCAATCAGTATTTTACACAGGAGGTGGTCCTGTTGTAGAATTCTAGTTTGTTGTTAAACATTTCTCCAGTGCTATAAA